TACGGTATGATCAATAAATAACAATAGGAATATTCTTTTTATACCTGCCTTTTCCTCCTCCTTGTCCATTTCAGGATGAGTGAATATTGTGCCATGCCAGTGTTAAAATTGAGTTCAAATTGAGTTTGTGTTACAGTTAAATGCCGCCACAAAAATATTCCTGCTAAGTGTGAACATTAAAAAATAGATCATGCGGTTTTTTTGGACAAAGCTGATTAATAAACAAAAAAGATATTATTAATTATAATTTTTATCATATAATAAAAGCTAATTAATTCTAATTATGGTATGGCTTTGGTATTCACTTGTTTTTAATACTTGATGAGACATGATGCACATGGGCGTTCCACCAGCGGCATTTTAAAGGTTTTGTAAATGTGTGATAACTAGTCTGTCGTAATATTGAAAATTACGACTGGACATATCCGGACATAATATGGGAAATATACCTCGCGGCGCTTTAACAGTATAGCAAATTAAACAATACAGGCCAATATAATTTTTATCATATAATAAAAGCTAATTAATTATAATTATGGTATGGCCTTGGTATTTACTTGTTTTTAATACTTAATGAGACACGATGCACGTGGGCGTTCCACCAGCGGCATTTTAATGGTTTTTTTAATGTTGTGTGATAATTAGTCTGTCGTAATATTGAAAAGTACGACTGGACTTATCCCGACATAATATGGGAAATATACCTCGCGGCGCTTACAGTATAGCAAATTAAACAATACAGGCCGCCCCTACTACTGTATACTGTATTAGTAACAATTGTATTGGTGAGAGTCTGAATTTAATATACAGTACTGTATTGGAAACATTTTTATATGTAACACTTCTGTTATTTTTAACATTATTGCATTTATTGGTATATTAAACATTTAATATGAGCAATTTACTGTTCTCTTGGAAAATAAAGATTACTGATTACTGAACATGTGTAAATTACGTTTTATATGATGAATATATTCATGCTAGGGATCATTATGCCCCAAGTTTATGCAATCAAGAAACAGCATGACACACAAATCAAAAAGTGACTTACAGGGACGCCTTAGTCGTCTAAAAAAATGGACAACCCCTTTGTCTCTCAGGACAACCTAGTTTCTTAGTGGGTGGTTGTCCTAACAAGTCCACTTTACCTGAAATCCCTCATGCCTGTAAATGTTATATCATTTTCCTGTGTAGGCTTTTTCCCTTTAAAGTGTCATTACATAAAGAATTACGAGAATTATATTACAGTAGTACTTATGATACTGCTGTGTAAAATTGTATTAATTCAACAATTTACGAAATTTATTTTAATTAAAACAGTATGCTTTGATCTTTAGTTTACTATAGCTGTGTCACCTACTAGGGGTAATGTTTGATTGGTGAAACACTTTTGGTACTTGTGCATAAAGCTTGCAATTATTGATAATTGTTCATTCCTGATGATGACACAATTAATGTCGAAATATTAAATCCCAACACGACAGCGTGCATTTCGATAATTGGAGTATGTATTATACTATCTTATACATGTACTGTATGCATAAAAATGTGGTTGGAGAATTTGGATTTCAGTTTTTACTCGCCTCTCATCCAATCAATCAATTTATTTGGAAATATCACCTTAAGACCAGTGGCACACACAAAGGTGGTGCATCCAAATTGCAAAAAAATAAACAGATTTAAAACTAAGCATACAAAAAACATAATTTTGAAATATAATGTTCAACTTTATGTTAAAAAATATTCATGTAACTAATCCAACAAAATATTATAAACAAATATGACTGTTATTAAATGTAAATATAGTAAAACTTAAGGCTAGCAACTCTTACCAAAGAGTCACACAACCAAGGTAAATTATATGGTTGGGATTGACTTGTGAAAGTAAAGAATATGGCATCTCTACATGCCCGGAAGTAGCACCCTCACACTTTTGAAACATCGAGAGCAGCATGAATTGATTACAGTAATAAATCTATCCTACAGTACTCCCACTCAATAACACTATAAAGGTTTTAGAGGAGTTTCAAATTTTGTATCTACTAAACACTGAAGTACATGGGAATTAGTATTGAATAACAGATGGAGATGGTCAATACTATTATTCACTGTTTACAATGAGACCATTTCAGAGTGTCAATCAGTTTAGCAACTGACCACTAGAGCAGGACCAGGAATTAATGCATTTTTTTGGGACCTTGACAACAATATTCGATAGGCGTGGCTTAGTGGGGAGGTTCATTTGCTAAGAATCAATGACCATGAATTCTCTTGCTTTTCACGGGTGGATGATCAGTTGATATTTTTTAGTTCGATGCTGGACCTGCCCATGTCTCTGTTGCACTAATTTATTTTCCAAAAATATACTTGGTAGTAGTGTTACATAGTGTCTGCAAAGGACGTGTACATAAATACTGGAGTACATTTTGAACTGTTAAATCTTACATAGAACCTGTGCCTGTGCAGATTTTTTGTGATAATCCTTAACGTGGTGAAGTAAGACTTATTTATTATCTTGGTTAGACTCTGAAATCAGGTAGTGTGCTGTAATGTTAAAGATATACTGTTAATTTTGGTGCGCTAATATTAATACTAATATTATACAGAATAATATTAGTGTAGTATTAATATTATTAATACTAATATACTAATATTATTGTTTATAATATTAGTATTAATATTAATTCCAATACTTATACTGTAAATAAATTCACTATTTGAATTGCTTGTGAGAATAGATTTTTGATTTTGAATATACTTCCAAAGTTGAGTGCAACTGGATGAAGATCTTTTTGCTATTCATACTGTATTTTAGAAAAAAATTTGCTTTGCAGGTATTGTGAGAGTTTCTACTTTGCTTTCAATTTCTTTATTTTGCTGGAGGGCGTTGGGTGGCTATCCTTATTTGTGGTGTTCCTGGCTATATAAAAAAATGCATTAGTTATTTAAGTATTGTAGATAGGGTTTTGAGGAATTCTTTTGTACTTGTTTTGTTAATTGTATCGATTGTAATATGTAATTTAGTAATGACTACACGTTTTTTGGCTGAAGTAGAAGCTCAGTGGCTGATATAGATGGGGGTGTAAGGGGCGTAAGGGGCGTACGCCCACTCTATTTTTAGTTCCTATGCATGTAATGCAATAGAAACTATTGTAATCACTTTTCACTGTTTTCCCTGTGTGTAGTGTGTGTGTTCGTGTGTGTGTATACATTTATGAAAATGCGCATGCGTAAAAAAAAAAAAGTTTTCCGACATTTTGTTTTTCCTGGCGAAGTTTCTGCAGTGTTCAGTCAAGGCTCGCGCTAACCGATCGGAAAGTCGGCTTGGATGAAACTATTTTGGTTTTCCGGCAAAAAAAATATCAACTGCTGTAGGTTAGGCATTTTGAAGAAGGCCTAAAATAAAAAAAAGGTTTTAATACTTGCTGAAATACATTGTTTTTTCATTTAGATCTCCATTTTTCGCTAACTCCATGTGACGTTTTTTTTTTGTGGTATGAGTAGTCATATGAAGGTACTATATCCCCGACAGTTAACTATGCAGCAGTGTACCCTTTGAATGCAAACTGAAGACAAGTGAAGATATAAAGGCAGCCGACTGTCGGGTACAAAATCAATATCTAGCTAGGCGTTTCACAATGCACCGCGTGGGTCGCTTTTTTTGTTATGCGGTAGTAGTATACGTAGCAGAGTGACGGCAGCAAGTCTAGGCCTAGCCTAGATCGTGTACGTTCTTGATCATTGTGATGAAAACTTCGGGTGACAGACGTTCGGGCCCAACTGGTGTGGACAATCGGGCCCAAGCTATTTTCAAATAAATTGTAGTCTACTAGGCCACTGCCAGCTCCCCCACTCCTGATATCGTTTTAAACTACTGTAAAATGAAAATACTGTATACCTAGCTAGGCCTAGACCCTAGGCTTACGAAATCTTTTTAAAGAAATTTGCTAAAAATATTACTGTAATTTGCCTATCAAATTACATTACCAATGTGATCTAAAATCACTATTTTGGGCCATAAAGCCTCCCCCTGATTTTTTTCAACCACCACACAAGTTTGACCCAACCATATTTTCTAATTATGTCATTTATGATGACGTAATCAGAACATACTGTATGGTTGGTTAAGTCATGTATCATGCATAGGAACGTTGACGCCTGCAAGGCTCTGGTTTTGTAAAAAATTGTTTTGTAAACCTTATCAGAAAATTACCATGCTAAATTTCGCAGTTTCATCGAACTTGCCAGTACATACAGTATCTGCGTATGTAATAGTGAACGTGATGCTGCCTTGACATCGGTTGTTGGATCCCCATTTGATTCACATACAGCATACAGTTTTATTGTTATGTTTAACAATTTTTTAGCCTATTTTTAGCAGTTTAAATTATGTAACTTTATGTGTATATATATAGTTTTATAGTGTAGTGAATATTTTTATTTTTATATAATAATTTCTACTTTTTAAACAGTTTTGTATTTTTGTTTGTTGTTGGGCTATGAGGAGAGCCCCTCGATGGCAAGTCTTGCATTTGGGTAATCCTGCCACATACACTTTTTTTTAAATATTTGTTTATTTATTTATTTTTTTTTTCTTTATTCTGATATGAAACCAGCTAAATATATGATATGATATGATAAACGTCCACTTCCCGGGACCTTAAAAAGGATACTTGTAACTACCAAACAATATTCCTGATAACATAATTACAGTAATCTCCAAATATTGAATCCCGACATGTGTGTATTATACTATCTTATCTGAGATTAATCAGTGGACTTTATATAATTAAGTAAAAAATACTTAAAATACAATCTGTTTACTATGGGAAATTTTAAAAATAGGATTTAAAATTATATCTTAATAAAATCATAGAGAGTCTTGTAACCCACTAATATATTTTGCAGGCAAATTTTGGGTCATGACCCATAGTTTAAGAACGGCTGTTCTAGTCTAAAAATTCCACATAATTTACAAAACAAATTTTTATTTCCTTCAGATATCAATAATGAATGGTTATCATCAGAGCAAAATGAATGGGGCAATGAATGGACAAGGAAATGGTGAACACACATCAGAAAATGGTCATCATAACGGCAATAACAATGCAGAAAATGATCATGATGGTGGTCATAATGGTGAATACCACATCAAGAATGGTAAACACCATTTCAATGGTTGTCACGTTCTTGTAACTGGTGGAGCTGGGTACCTAGGCTCAACAATGGTTCCGATGTTGCTGGATGAAGGGTACAAAGTTACCATATATGAAATCTTTTTATGGGGAGCCGCTCCGATTTTGCCTATCGCATCGCATCCGAATCTTGATATCGTGCGTGGAGATGTATGTGATTCTGAGCGTTTGAAGGCAGTAATGAAAGACTGTGACGCGGTTATTCATCTTGCTGCGATTGTGGGTTATCCAGCGTGTGAGAAAGAGCCAGAGTTGGCTAAAAAGGTCAATGTAACCGGTACCGCTAATGTAGTTCGGCACCTGAAGCCGCATCAGAAACTGATCTACTCTTCCACAGGCTCTTGCTATGGAGCGGTAGAGGGAGTTTGCACTGAAGAAACGAATATAAGTCCGCTGACGCTCTATGGGAGCACCAAGGCTGAGGGTGAAAAACTTGCACGTTCTGTCGGGGGAGTGGCACTACGTTTAGCAACCGTATTTGGTGTCGCTCCACGGATGCGCCTAGACCTGTTGGTGAACGATTTAACACAAAAGGCGATCAACCTAAAGAAATTTGATCTCTACCAAGGAAGCTTTCGCCGCACGTTTCTTCATGTAAAGGATGCTGCAAGGTCGTTTCTTTTAGCTCTTAAAAACTACAAAACAATGAGTGGACAGGCGTACAACATCGGCGACGCCCACATGAACTTGACTAAAGCAGATGTTGCCCGGCTCATAAAGGGTGTCGTTCCTGAATGCATGATCACGATTTCAAACAAAGGTGAAGATAAAGACAAACGTGACTACGAGGTTTCCTATCAGAAAATTCAGAACCTTGGATTCACTGCGAGCATTTCAATTGAAGATGGAATTCAAGAATTACAAAAAATTATACCAAACCTTACCCAAAGAGAAATCTTAGCAGCTAGAAATATAAGTTTATAGAATGAAATATTTCAGTAAGAACTGTAACTTGCCAAACATAAATTATTTTGACATTCCTAAAAATATTTACAGTTAATAAAAAGAGAAATAATGCCTAATTGGTATTTAATAATAATGATGTAGCACATGCTGTGAAAATTGTTCATATTTTTGTATGTGGAAACCAAATAATTACTCTTCCTGATATATGTTAAGGCTAACTCGGGCAGCGTCATTGGATGCAGCCTGACGGGATTTTTCTTAGGTATTAGGTGGTCGTGAAAATATTTAAAAATGTTTGATAGCCTACTGCGTGACTCCCACCGATGTGGTATCATGACGGCTTTGAATCTGGGTGTAACTCACGCTGACACGACGCAATGATAAATTTGGGCAGCATTGTACGCCCCCGACTGAGTTGCCTTTTAGAGGGGTTTTGAGCCAATAATAAATTAATCATTCATCATGAACATGTTTTCGATTAACTACAAGGTGGATAAACAAGTCATTTTTGTTATTAGATACTCCACTCAGTTGCATGCCAAGCATTGAAGATTTCCCAACAAGGGTAGATTTACTGAGTGGATTGCATGATAAACTACAGATTGGAGTAGAGCTTGTATTTGCAGGTTTAAATCTGGTAAAAAAAAGCCAAGCACTTTTTTTTTCCTGACAATTATTCTTTTCCTTTCGCGTTAGCGGTTTGTTGAATGCAATTTTTGGCTGCCATCTCACTTCTTTACCTGAACGGCTTATTTGGTTTTTTTTTTACATTTTATTTATTTATTTATTTTATTTTGGTTTTTTGATATGATGAAGGTGGTCTTCAAATATTCTAGCATTACCATTATTTGTCCCCTCCCTTAATTTATAGATAATGAAAGTGGCAGACATACCATAGTTCTAGGTTGAATAGTTTGGTGGTTAATATTCTTGCCTTCCAATCCTGGGTTCAATTCCTGTCAGTGTTGCAGGATTTTTTTTCTCACAACCAAAACAACTCCACTCCCTAAACCTGATATTGAGATTTAGTTTGTATCGTGTGCATATTGCCATGTGAAAGGGATTGTCACCTACAAGTAGGACAGGGATATAATTCGCTATTGATAATCCTTGGTGCATGTGTTGTGTGCCTAAATAATGAATAAAAATATTTGCAAGTTATATACTTGGCTGTTGGATGTTGATAGAAAAATTTAAAAAAAATCAAAATATTGGGATTCATAAGGATTGGATTAGGTTTGAAATTTAACCACACCATTAATGTTGTGTTACAGGGTTATGTTGTAAACACAGGGTAATAATTGTTTTTTTTTTTTTTTTTTTTTTTTTTGTTTAATTGGTACACGTGGAGTTTAGCTATGGTATTTGATGAAATAAAGATACACATTATTCTGGATATATTTGATGTTGTGGATAAGATTTTAAATGCTGTTGTTTCGTTTTACACATTGTTAATAACAATGATGAAATAATGATTATATTGATGATGACTACATTGATGATGTTGGTGAAAAGATGGTAGTGGTGGTGACGACCACGTTGATACAGAAATTATATGATCTGTTTTATTACAAGTTAAAATTGTAAACCGTAGGCCTTTCTGGAATTTATATAATATTGACTGACTGACTTTATCAGAGACTGCACAACCTTCAGTACCTGCCGTTAGCCTGCACTGACAGTACCCGCGATCAAGATATCCCCTATTTCCATCGAATGCAATCCTTTTCTGCCGCGAACTAGTTCGGCCGCTATGTAGAGTACTTTAACGGGGTGGCACTAGGATTTGACTGACAACGGGTTGGCACCAGGATTTTACTGACGGCTGTTCTGATGTTTCCGATGAGAACGTAAAGTGGGCGTAGTCGGCCGTCGTTTAAAATTCCTCAAAAGTGAAACTAAAAATGACAATAATTTAGGGGTTTCAAAGGCATATTCGAATTTAGAGTCTTAAAATATGGAAAAAAAATACGTGTATAATCCATCTGCCCTTAATCTTCCCTGGCCAGTACCTGTCCTCTTGGTGAATGACTAACATGTTCCAACTGATCTTGTGGTTAATGGCTTTGGCCATCAGAAAACTTAATGTTACCATGACAGGAAATAAACCTAGGACCCTCTGAGATTGGAAGGCAAGCCTCTTGACTTACAATATATACAGCTACACTCCAAAACGCCGTAAATTCACGAATTGAAGCCCAATGGGCTTAATTTCGAAATGAAGCCCATCTCGAACTGAAGCCCCCCTCTTTAGTTTGCAAAATGAGACCCGAAAAGAAGCCCATAGGCTTTTTTTCAAGGTAGCATAGGCTTCTTTTCGTGATAGTACAGTCCATACACTACATGAATTTAAAAAAATAAAATAAATTGAAAGCAAACTTATTTCGAAATTAATTATGTCGAAATATTGTCATAATTAATGTCAAAATTTTGAATCCCAACACGATGGCGTGTATTTCAATACTTGGAGTATGTATTAAACAAACTTAGTTTCAGTAGTTTTGGTGACTTAATGCCAGTTAAATACACTCCATGATAGATTGATGTTACAGTGGCCTTAATTATTGTTTTATAGTACAATTTCACAAAATTTACAGCATTCATTTTGAAAAGAATTCTCTCCTCTTTACTTCGCAAAAGTAGCACCGAAAACGGCCCGAAAAGAAGCCCATCCAAAGTTCGCATTAAAAAAAAAAAAAAAAAAAAAAAAAAAAAAAAAAAAAAAAAAGTCCATGAAAGAGGTGGTGTTTTACAATTCAATAAAAAATACCCTAATTAAGACACCTTTCGTCACTTCAAAGGAATAAATTAACTAAATGTGGGAGTAATTAAATATAGGCTCTTTCATTGGTTTCTTCACTTTTCAAATATTTTGTTAATGATTGACAAGTGACACAGTGGCGGCTCTAGGATATATTTTTGGTCCGACTGCCCGACGAGCTTTGGACGATGGGGGTGGGAGGAGGGGCTTGACCAGACGGATGGGGAGGGGGACTTAAACCCCCACTGGCGCTGCCACTGAAATGACATCAATGTTATAATATACGGTAGATGAGACTAGCGTAGCTCAGTCGGCTAAATTGATGGTATCCACTATGTCTGGGCTGAACCGCGGAGATCATTCACATCTTTTAGTCACTGGTTCAGTTCCATTCACTTATGTGTTTCAGCCAGAAGACTGAATACAAGTTACGATAACACGCTGTTGTTTGGATGATGTATTTATGCCTTTGGTCCAATATGCAGCTGCGTAGCTAGGTGAGAACGGGCACCAGTGCAGGACTAATTACCGGGCACTTTGAAGCGTCAACCGCATACATGCCAACATTTGGATATTTAAATAAAACCCGGAGAATTCGGCGCTAAGTACCACCAAGGGGTTTGGCCCGTGGGGGAGCAGTCTCTTGTCATTTCATTTCATTTTATTCTGCATTATCCAAATCTAAGCCATTTGACTTAGCAAGGTCTCCTTATTGGGATATTTGAAATAAAGTAATATATTGTATACAGTATTTTCTTTTTATGTATAGGCCTACTTAATAATTTCAAAAATTATCTTTAAAAGACCCCTTAGAAGTCGGGAAAACCCATTTCCGGCCACCTAGGAATCAAAATTTTTCCCCGGAGCCCTCTTTCTTTTGGGTACTTTTGGGAAAAATTTGAACCCCCTTGCTTTAAATCCTGGATCCGCCCCTGCAAAAAAATTGAAAGAAAATCTAAATATTGAGGTTTTTTCCGTCGTTTTATTTATAAATAAAGACAATACAATCAATATATTAGTACGCCTAGGACCTATGCAATTTCATTGTAAATCGGGAGACCATGTGGATTCAGGGGCCCGCTGGCCGTTTTTTTCTTCAAAAATATTAAGTTGGAAATTATTTTTATTTATTATTTTATGCCAAACTATGAATGAGCCCTCAATAGCCCCCCTGGCCCCAGTGCTTTGCACTGCCCATCCCTACCACTGGTCCCATGTAAAGTATGTAGTTCCCCCAACCCCTTACTGGATCCGCGCCTGCTAGAGGAGACAAGCGTTTAATTTAATGTCCATATTGTGCAACAAGTTCGATTGGAATTTAGCGTCAAAGTGGTATATTATGCTTACATAAAAAATAATATTTCATCTCATCTCTGTTTCCCAACTAACATCCCCTGTCTGCTTTGCTTGCTGAATAAATATGATTTCCTGCCAATATATTGATCTCACTTCCTTGGTAAAATTTAGGCCGCTTTTGTGCAAACTGCACCGCAAAAAGCGGTTGTTTCGTTGCGTGAGGACATTGAATCGATTTGGTGTTTATCTGGACAAACAGATTAGTAAACAATCAAGCTATTATTGATTAGGCCTATAATTTCTATTAAATAATAGTCATTGATTGACTTGAACTATTCAACTTTAAGTACCTATTGGGGTATACTTAATATTGTACTTTCTATATTGTAGGCAATTTTCCTTTAGTATTGAAAATACAAAACACTTTTTAGAGACAGCTAAATGTAAAGTTCTAACCCTCCAATTTAATTCTTGGTATTATGCCTATTACCAATGTTTATCTTGTAAACTATTTTTTTAAATTTAACTTTCCTGTTCAAGCTGCATAAGTAACTTTTGGTTTTTTTAAAAATTGATATTGATTTTTTTTTTATGGAGGGCCTCTTCAAGTCGGCATTGCTGTTATGGTCACACTCGTTAAACAAGTTGATTAAAATATGTAAAAAGAAAAATACTGGTATTGGCCAAGCAAATATGATTCACTTGGATCAGTCGCGTTTTGGTGGATATAGAGTAATGCCTAATCTTTCCAATATGCCATACATTATTAGTCTATCGTTCCTTCTGTTTTTTTGTTTTCTTTTTTAATAGAAAATGCATCTGAAGTTCCGCCCACCAAATATGATGGTACCGTTACACATTCGAAATATTTTCACAATGTCCAGATATTGATTGTCTAAAGAGGTGTTAAAGTCTAAATTGTGACGACTTCGGTTGAATGATTTGGCCAAAACAATCTGATCAATACATAACAACTATAATATAGGAAACCTCTGTATTTCTCAACTAACTTTTCCTCTCGGCTCCCAGGATTGTCTAAATTGGTGTAGTGATGTACTTGCTTATACATTGATTGATTTAACACAAAAAGCATGCAAGATGAAGAAATCATGCTGAATCTGCTCTGTTACAAGTAGGCCTACTCACTGAAAGAGTAAGCAAGATGTTGAGATATTTCTATCAGGGGAGTGGGCATGGATCTTGAGGAATATCCAACATAACATTACTTGTAATTTCATCCTATACACGAATAATAATATATCAACATGGATTTTCAACATTGTTTACAGATATAAATAAAATACACCTGCGGTTTTTCTTTCATGCGAAAAACATTAAATGAATAGTATACGAATTGGAAGCTAGTACAAAATAAGAGTTATTATCAATTACTTTAGCATTTCTTAGTCTATAATTATAATTAAGGCCTCAACAAATGCCTTTTTTTCTCGCATTAATTTTTCCAATATTCATGTAGTATGAATGTATGTGTTTAAAAAAAGAATTCATAGAAAATTATTTACTTCAAATTTAAAATTTTGAACAAGACAACTCTTAGCGAATTTTTAACAAAACAATTATTAAAGAATTCATATAGAAAACAATTTACTTCAAATTTAAAATTTTAAATACAAGACTATTATTCACTTTCATTTTAGGAATCTTCGATATTGTGATTGAGAAAGGTAGATTGTATGGGATTTTATTTGAAAACAGATTATGTAAATTAGGCCTATGTTACCGTAATGAAGTAGTTGTAACAACGTTAATTAATATTGCATCTGATTTGGTGTGACTTGCATTAGGTAAAGAAGAATTCGCAACACCATTTTGAAAATATTGTTAATTTCCAAACAGAAATAATTATCTTTATTTTCTTTTTCCTTTTTCCTAGTCCTATCGTACCTAAAAGTGTATGAAATTCAGAATGACCAGAGTAAATACAGTAATTGAGTTTAAATTACATGTGAGAATTGGTAAATGAATGGCAGACTAGGATTTGTTATTCCTGTAACAAGTGCTAATAATCAATATACAAATCTGCAGCGATTACAAGTTTATAATTTTAAGGATAGGTTGACCTTGATGATAGGTTGATAATTTGGATATAATACCAGGCACATAACATAGGTTAAAAATTTCCCGCACGAATAAAACATATACGAGCGGTACTGGGTAAAGACAACTTGATTTTTGCTACGAACAAGGTATCCATTCTTAGAAGTCGTATGAAGATAACCCTATCCAATAGATGATCTCATAAAAGTTTCTTCAAACAACTTTATAGCACGATCGAATTGGACGTTGGAAGTAGCTCTTTCTGCAAATACTGCTGGCCTATTCAGTACGAGAGTCCTCTGTTTCTCAATGAATTTATTTATGATAGCAATAATCAAGAGTACAATTTTTAGTCTGATTTTACAAAAAACGTCAATGACACAACATTTTAATGCTCTTACCAAAGCTTCTCCAAACAAACTTACATCACAATTGAAAAAATATATTACCCTTTAGCATCAGCTTATTCTAGAAATAAAAAAATAATACATACCTCATTAATTTTACATTCTGGATGTATAATTCATTGAAAAAATGTGTCTAAATTAAACAATTTATTTTCAATATTAAACCCTGTTATCAATTTGTGGAATATGCATAGGCCTATATCAAAATGTTATTCATGATATATAACACCTTAAAACGTGGGTCTATAAACTATATTTTTGATATGCTTCAATTAAGAGATATGGTGTATTATCGATTTTGTTTCAAATGACGGTAGTTAACTTGCATATTATTTAATACAATTTAATTATAATTTTAGTGCGTTTGGGGCGTGCTAGAAATAACTGTGCGCAAAAGGCTGATGAAGTAATTAGTGGTTCAGCATATAAATGTATAAGGTATCGAAAATTTAGATTTAGTGTTAACAAGACTTTGGAATCTTGAAAGACGCGTTTTACAGTCTCAACTGAATGACGAGATTCAATAGCCGTTCTGATCACCAAATATTTTGAGAATGTTCTCATTGTTTGGGTTGATTTTTCCAAATTCGTCTGGAAACTTATCTTCAAGTGTTTTCCATATGTAGTCCGCTGTGAGTGCGTGGGCGAACTAAAAAAGAAATAATTAAGAATATAATAAATAGATGGAAAACAAGATGACATGTCTTTCAATATTTGTTTTGGAAAATCTTATTTTGATAGACCATAGTCGTATGGTTGAGCATCTGCAGCTTTTATGAATATGCTATTATGTTAGTACCTGGTTTGGGTGGAACCCATCCACAGGTTCGATAAGCTCCCATGCCTTGCCTCCTTGTTTCTTCCAGGCATTGATTACTATCGTGAACAAGATAATAGAAGAAAAATATTTTATTATTAAAGTTCAATAGAAAATTACAGTGTCGGGTTTTACTCTTTTCATTAAGAAAAATATTGCTATCAAATATAATTAACTAGATGAATCTAACAGCATACGTGCTTAGTGTTATCATCTACTGTTCATGTCCTGTCTCTTATACACATCTAGATGTGTATAAGAGACAGATATACAAATCTGCAGCGATTACAAGTTTATAATTTTTGAGGATAGGTTGACCTTGATGATAGGTTGATAATTTGGCAATAACACCTGGCACATAACATAGGTTAAAAATTTCCCGCACTGTTCAACTGTAGGTCAACTGTACCATTTATTCTGCTGGATGCATTGTGCTATAGTATACGTACTTACCAACGTGAAAATCAAAATCTATATATTCTACTCTAAAATTTGCGAACATCTGACTCTGCGATGCCTCTTTAACTGCCTCGCTAAGTTGCCTTGCCCTCTGAGAAAGAATGAAAATGTAATGATAATAATAAATAATATTTATAATTGCAACAATAATAACAACAATAACAGTTGTAATTCATCTCTTAATGATTCAGTCTGAATGATGTTGTTTTTCCTGTATTATAGTACTGTTACCATGTCTATTGTATAATTTGAATAATTTTTATTATCGAGCAAATTCTGTAGACCTATCACTATTCTTATCGTAATCAGGTCAAAACTACTTGCCCAAGCCCAGACACCAACCCGAAATCCCGAAATCTCGAAAAATCTATTTTTTTTCATTTTTTAGAAAATTATATTGTTTACCCAAAATGACCCCACAATGCCATTTGATACCTTAACTATTTTTTAGCCCTGTGGTATCCATGTCAACGAAAATTATGATGGGCCGGGGAGATGATGAGCCGTAGAATTAGGCAACAATTGCCGACTTACCAACCTCATTATTATTTGCTATATTACTGTATAGGTCTAATATTAATATTATAGTATTAGTAGTAGTAATAGTATTATTCGTAAATTTAATAATAATAAAAAAAAAAAAAAAAACACGATTGTATACTTAAGCAGTAAGGCTAAGAATTGCTAAGAATAATTACTTGTTGGGGTTTTTTTTCTGTTACTTTTGTTGATGTTGTTAAATATTCAAATAATACTGATCATCAGTTAACTATATTTTAATACATGTAATCTCTATTACTTTAACAATTAATGTTCTGAATCTTATTACAAATTGGTTTATCAGCCAGGGTTTTTAATAGTTTATTAGCTAAAATTATTTTTACCTCTGATGTAATATTTCTGAGAGTTTCATTGGTGGAGAGCCATCCGTTGCATGGCGATACCTGCAGACAAGATAGATACTCATAGATGTCCCTGTAGCGGACGTCCTGATTGAGTTGGCCTAAAGGATGAAACCTGTTTGCTAACGTGTCGTACAGTATTCGTCCGTCCACCATTCCCGTCATCAACACCAAACTGCCGTTTGGAAGTACTTTGTCCTGCGGACAGGGTGATTATTGGGGCAATCATTAGGCCCACTGTTCAAGATACCATAGCATCTCTTGAAGCTTCCGTGGCAAATGTGCTTATTAAAGTAATATTTTATCATTTAACTCTAAATAATGCAGTGGTAGTAAAAGAATGGGAATTTTGGTGATGGTGATTATGATGTTAATGTTATATTGTTTAAAAAAAAATACACAGAAAGCAATATTATTGCAAACGATCAAAAACACAATATTTCATGAATGTTTGCTTGGCGAGTATCAATAACAAAATCATAAAACTTAAAACATATAAGTTGAGCCGGGCTCACACTCTGTCGATGGCCATCGACCGACGCGATCCCATGCAGATAATGTTGGGGAGGATGCTGCCTCTAATGGTGATGATCAGATGATGATGATGATGATAGTGGTAGTGGTGATGATGATAGTAAATAGTGAGGTGACGGTAGTTGTAGTGGCGCTGCGCGGTGCGGGGGTGGGGGGATGCACACGCAACAACAAATGTCAACCCCTCCCCCTTCTTTGAAAATGATATGCCACTGTGGTCGTGATGATTTGTGAATGTATGCAAATCATGATGCAATTAGATTAGATTAGATCAGATCTATGTAAAGTAAGACCATACCATCTTTATTAACGCATTTATTCAGTAGGCTTACAAACACATATGGCCAAATGTATTACATACTGTATATATTTTGATTTGACCTAACAGCCGGTGAAAAGGATTATACGAAACATGTGATTGGTAATACAGGTAGGCCCTCATCTCTCTCAAATATTTCTTGGGACATGAATGATACAACAAGCCTCTGACATTAAATAAATCCATTTAATCATATCATATAATATTTAATGAACAATCGATTTACTAACCAAGTATTTCAACGACGATAATGCACTCGCTTTCATTTCTGCTGGTTTGGTCATGTGATCAATAGTGTCCGGGTGCCTGGAATGAGTGAAAAGTGTGGAAATTAAAATTAAAAAAATATCAGATGTATAAATATACTGGTAGAAACATATTAATAAATATATAAACATATCCATATTGATAGATTGATAGAGTATCGATTACAGACTAATCAACATGAATGCAGAGTTCGATAAATTAAATTGATCGATAATTAAAAAACAATATTGAAAGAGATACATACAGGTATTGTCCATTTGGCACACTATCACCAGTGCATTAGTATTTATACAATTTAAACAAATTAGTAACACATCCTGATAATTTTTAATCTAAAATTAATCTTCTGAATAAACTAAGATATTAACTCACCCATTACATACGTCATTTCCGAGCAACGAATAAATCACCACTAATGGTTTGTCGGCCTTTTGGTCACGTGCAAGGCTAAAGGAAGGAAAATGCACTATTCTTGATCTAATATTTTAGAAATGATGTTTGAGAGGTCAGCACCTGCATTGTATGTATTTCTGGTATTGGGTTCAAATCCACATAGAGCAGAATTCAAAACAAGAAAATAATAGCCCTACTTGAATATTTACTTGCAACAGAGTTATTACGTTACATTTATCAACAAATACAGGCTCTATACTCAACAAAATGTTATGAAATAGAAAGACAGGCTATGAAATAAAGTAAGCAATACTCATGTAAAATTCAGTTGTGCAATAGTTATCAAAATGAATCTCTATTTTACGGAAGCTTAAAGGTGCCATCCAGATGTCTAGATAATTATCTCGTTATGTGTACATCCTTTAGAAGAGATGATTAGATAACGAGATCCTGGATCTCGTTATGTGTACATCTTTTAGAAGAGATAGATGAAGAGATCATGGATCTCGTCATGTGTACATCCTTTAGAAGAGATGATTAGATGACAAGATCATGGATCTCGTTATGTGTACATCCTTTATAAGAGATGATTAGATGACAAGATCCTGGATCTCGTTATGTGTACATCCTTTATAAGAGATGATTAGATGACAAGATCCTGTATCTCGTCATGTGTACATCCTTTATAAGAGATGATTAGATGACGAGATCCTGGATCTCGTCATGTGTACATCCTTTATAAGAGATGATTAGATGACGAGATCCTGGATCTCGTCATGTGTACATCCTTTATAAGAGATGATTAGATGACAAGATCCTGGATCTCGTTATGTGTACATCCTTTAGAAGAGATGCTTAGATGACGAGATCCTAGATCTCGTCATATGTACATCCTTTAGAAAAGATGATCAGATGACAAGATCCTGGATCTCATCTGAACATCTGGGAGGTCACTTTATGCTTCCGTAGATCACTGTATAAAACCGTGTTCACATCGGATCAGACCGAAATTTGGACCGCTGCGTTTCCGATGAGCTGAACGCCAGTGTTCCATATATTCTTAAACATTGATCCGATATTCTGATCGGTTTGGTAAGTTTTCGGATCCTAAACGTCGGATTTGGTGCACCTTAAAAATAGGGGTGCTGGTGTTCAATGCAGATCGTAAACACGGTCCGAATTTCGATTCGGATCAGATGTGAATTCATGCTATAGGCCTACCTATATTGAACTGTCCTGTTCATCGAAACGGTTGTTGCACCTATGAAAAAAATAGGATATTACGAATTAATTTATATCAATGGTGAATACAATGTTGTCCTTGCATAATTTTAACACAACATCACTGATTATTTTATTGGGAATATTCAATATTTTGTACTTTAAGTATTTAATTATATTTACCATTAACACCAATATTCTGGTAATCTCTGTGGTTGCATAGGTTTCGTTGACGCATACGTAGATATAACGAGTCAGTAGGTCCCCTGAAAACATTTCAGCAGTTAATAATTATTAGTTTTTCTATAAAATGTATTTTGTTTCTCATCAAATGGGCCAAACATAATCTGATTTATTCAAAAATCTTCTAGTTATATTCATCATTGATCTAACATTACATGTATTTTAAGAAATTGCTGGTGGTGTGTTGTAGTTAAATAATTACCGGTATATAGCCATGAGAGAAAAGAAAAATCACGTCAAATAACAGAGTGGGCGTAGAAATATTTTGGCTACCTTCTTGTTGTAATACAATTCATGGAGAAAATAAGCTCAAATAAACAGAGCAATATTACGATAATAGAATTCAAGTAGGACCGCTTTTGTCAAAAAACTGAAAAATGCCTTCGGTAGAAAGTTGTTCGCTTCTGGAGAGGTGGGTAGAATTGTAAGTCTTTATTGGTAGTGTGAAAAAAAAGAAGATATGTTCAGAATAGTAGGTCTACTTACTCAATTGTTTTCCAAGTGGAAGTGTTCATGAAACCTAAAACACATCGAAAAGCTCAAATTAATGACCATGATTATTGATAAATTAATGTGTTAGTAGACGTCATTTAATATCCTATATGCTGGTTCTTTTTGGAATAGAAATAGACAACACAGCTACAATTGTGGTGAATATTAATTCATAACTAACCTCCGACACTGATCTAAGTACTATAAAAAAAAAGGTGATAATCATATGCAGGCTAACACAGTTGCATTGTAAATGTACAGCATTATTCCTATAATGTCTTCTATTACTGAAATCGTTTTTACTGTATTTTTCCAAATTAGTTTGCTTGGCTTATCCTTCCTTAGGAGTTATCATTGCGCGCTCTGCTCACCCACAATCGGCTAGTTCTCGGTGTAAGGTAGAGTTTCCCAGCAGCATTCCTCGACATGGTTGTATTTTTTTGTAAACATTCATACAATGCTGACCATTTTCCAACCAGTAGATGATACATTTAAGGGTGGGGTGGGTGTGGGGGTTGGGGTGGGAAAGCAGTGGACTTCTCCATTACTGAAAACAAGTTACCTAAATGGTTCATTATTACTTGAATTATGTCTATAATTTTCAGCGGAGGCCAGTGGAGCACCAGCCCCAACCAGGATCTAGAAACCTGGTCAGAGTCTCGAGCCTTTGAGCTCGACTATATTCTTTTAATTCATTTCAGTGCGTTAGTGCGTTAGTTAATAACTTTTAATATCCACCGCAATTTTAACTAATTAATTTTGAGCTATAGATACCTCAATATTCTGTATTTATTTTCCGAAATAAGCGATGAGATGAAATGAAATTGTAATTGTCCTAAAAAGGTTTTGTCTTTTTATTTCATTACAAAATTAATGCTGCCCTCACCTGTCGAGTATGAAACTTGTGGCCAATCAAATTCGTTTTCAATCACCATAGGCATCTCTTTGAAAATATCCTGAATAAGGAAGAGATATTTTGAAAGAGGCGTAATTGTAAGGAAATATCCAATGAATATTGAATATGGCCTTACTGCTATATTAGGGACGGATCCTGAGATGTCCGAAAAAGATGGGGTGGGGAGCGAAAGGGGGCGGAAAGTGGGGACCGACCGCGAAATGTTTGTTGTCTAGACTCCCGATAATAACCTCAAAGGCGTTTTGGGCGATCATTTTTTTGTCTTTTCTTTCTTTCTTTTTTTTCTTTTTTTTTTTTCACTTTTTTTTTCAAATATGGGGGGCGGGGGGCGTCCGGGCCGACTCCCCCTAAATTCTCCCCTCTATATTCTATTTACAAAAAAAACAAAAAAAAAGAAAAACACAAAACACAACATAATATAAAGCTACCTTGTTAATTTCAGCGGGAGTAAACCAATTCACAGGAATATGAAAGTGTGCCGTTGCTGAATCACCAAGTATAGCCAATCCCATTGGTCGACTGCCTTTACAAAATAATTCCTCGTAAGATTTTCCCGATTTCGGATCAACACCCTAAATAAAAGTAGCCAATAAAAATTAAATGCAACCATCACGTTTTACATTCAATGATTTTATAAATAGGCCTATTTTTTTAATTTAAATATTTCAAGTAATTTTATAAATTATTATAAAATTACTTACCATTATGCCATTACAGTTCGAATCTTCAACTATATCATCATCCACCGGTCTAAAGAAACAAGACGGATCTATTTTACGTTACTTGTCATTGAGAGCATACTCTTTGAAGCGGCCGGAAAGTAACTAAATTAATGTTATATTTTAAAAGCTTGGAATATTGCACAATTGTAATTATACCAAATCAATAACTTTTAGACCTACATACCATCGTCAAAGTTACTATAAGTCAGTAATTACTAAATTAGCAATAATAGACAACATGTGTATATCAAAGCAAACAGGTGAAAGCTTGAGTATTTCCATACCAAATCAATCACGACTCGATAAATTTGGTTTTTGTGAAGCTACTCAAAACTAGCTGAATTTGTAAATTTGAAAGGATGTAAACTTATCAAAAAGCATTGGTAAATGTTCCCAACTTTACGCCGCTAATTTTGACTCAGATTGATTAGAAATTAAGTTTAAAAAAACAGGCGGAAAGTGTAAAGTTTTTAAATATAGAAATCCACACATTTAGCGTAGCCTGTCGCTATACACTGTTACGAGTATTGAAGATCGTCAACGATCACATGAGCCGTCGTACTGCACATGAGACCAATTGTATAAACGTCTTAATGAAGCAAAGGTCTATAATGATTTTCGTTGTTTAGCTAAAGTGCACACAGTGACTATCAGTTCCATAAGCAGCTTATGTGGAACTGGGTCGATTCCGAGTGGTGTTGACGTCCACTCATTCGTCCGACTGTTGGCACTCGCTAATTTTTTTTCGATTGGTGCTTACAAAATACAAATTAAACATATAAAAATAGCAGCCAAGAAAGTCTTTCATTTTCAGAAATACGTCTTGTTAATATTACTAAAACATATATTAAGGTATTAACGCTTATTTATTATTTTCTCTTGATTTGTTTTTAAGGTTGAAATATTGATTATAAAATAAAATATAAATTCATTGCATAATTGCATAACTCTCAGAATAGTTGTATTTAATGAACCTGTACTATGAAATATTGTTTAGAAACCATTATAAAAAGAAATACAAAATGTGATTTATATTTTTTTTTAGAAAAGTCAGTAGTGTTCGTTTTCAGTATGCTTAATGAATTGATGTAGAGAAGAGGGACATGATTTGAAAATGTATGTATGTAAATCAAAAAGAACTTCCTTGTGTAGCCATGTTTTTGCTGTGATGTCATCATGAACATTTGTAGGCATGTCACGTGTTTTTTGGTAAAATAATATTTGATAGTCTGGAGAGAGTTTTTCAAAAAAAGGGTGGGGGGGGGGAATGCACTTCCTTCACCGCAGATGTGATTGCATACTCACTTTCGCCCAGGGTAGAAGTCGGCCTGTCCGTCGTTGCAATCTCTCCCCCGCCAATACGACCCACGCAGTGTCTAGACAGAGGATGAATAATCGGTTGTAAACAAATGGTATCTATTTATAGATGGATGGGTGTGGGGTGGTGGTAATTAAAGTGGGGTCCGAATGTATAGCGTAATGCGGTTTACCTTAATTTCACTAAATTTATCATTGTCCAGGTCCTGCACTGGAAGGTGGTCATCTAGCTTCCTGAATGAAACAAAATTTTATGAAATTATGAATGAACTTCTTCTGACTTATTTGTGTGATGTGCCCATATATGAGCATGCATTTCACATTTATTTGTCACATAAAATTGTAAAGTGTGGGCAGAGCTTCAGGAACTTAACGTGAGTAAATGTAATTATGAATGTACACAAATAAAATAGGATACATACGTATATATTTCTCTGCACAATGCTTTCAAAACTGGAAGGGAATCACATATATTGCTTCGTATTTGCTTGACCTGAAATTAATAAAGAGATCACACAATAACATGACTATTTAGCGAGTCGATGGAGTGCGGGCGGGGTAAGTAGGGGCGGGTGTTCCCCACCTTATAAAAAAAAGCGTCTTTCCACAAGGCCCCACTGAAAATTTGCTGAGAAAAACAAAATACGCTCAATTTTATTTTGCTAGCTATATAATGGCTCCCACTCACTTACTTATCGTTCCTCCACTGTATTCGTACCCCCTTATACTATATATTAATTGTAACTTATATTATAGAACAAATAGCATTTCGCCCTCAACTTTGAGATTTAGGGTGGTCTCGAGTGGTTTTGTCCCCGACTAGAGATTGTTATTTGGTTCTTTGAAAAAAAAAACAAAAAACAATGGTCTCTAATTAGTGGGGTCTCGAATTAAAGGGTGTACTATATCATACTGGGGAGCTTTCGATTTGTGCGACGACGCGACTCTAGAACGGAATTACTCGTGCGTGACCTTCCTACCTGGCGTCCTATGTTTTCTGCATCTGCGTAGATTTGGCCAAATGCGTTCCAGAATCTACTCCACGACGTGACCTTAACATTCTCGCATGCGCAGATGACTTTTAGTGACGTCATTACGTTCTACGTCCTACCGTCGTCGTGCAATCGAAAGTTCCCTAATATTGTTTTCTTTGTACCGTATGTTTATCGATTTCCTCTTTCCAAATGGGATTTATATGATCTAGTTTTCTTCGTATTGTGGATGTCTTCTGGAAGATGCGGCACTCTTTCTGACCCGGATCCGTCCTACAGATTCCAATAGCATGACACGCTACATCAGCATTAACGTCTTCTTCAAATCTAAAAATGGCATTTTAGTTGGTTATTTCAAACTAACGCTGCCTAAAGTGTACCTTTATTATATTTCAAGCTAAAGCCGGGCATCCACTGCCCCGACGGTTGTCGGCTGACGCGATTCTATGAAGAACGCAACTTCATGAAGCACGCGCAACGCTTCGTTTTTAATAACAATCTGGTAATACTGCCACCGACAGCAGATTACGTCGCGATGTCTAACGCTCACTTGCTCGCCGACGAATCCAACTTCGCTCCCTAGCGGCGTAGCTATGTAAGAACAGCCCCTGTGCAAGAATAATTTGCGATGCGTCAACCGAGGGCCGTAGATCTAAGTTATGACTAGTGGGCGGGGGTGTGCTGGGAGCAGTCAATTACCCTTGGGGGTTTGGGAATCCCCGAAAGCTTCGACGCTTTAAATTTTCAGAAGTGGTATTTTGAATTTAAAGAATGAAAATTCTCAACGGCAGCCCAGTAAACACTATTATGTTATTGATTATTTGTTTATTTATTTATAGCCTACATTCAATTCATTATTTTTTTTGCCACAGTATCCAGTTAATAATTTTCCAAAAAAAAAAAAAAAAAAAAAGCATTACAACAGCAATCATAATTATAACAACAATACTAATAAAAATAACAATAAAAAGAAAAAAATAAGATAAATAAAGAATCGGATTGGTTTGATAGAATGGGAGCTTTCACATCGTTTGGTGTTACTGTAAAGTCCAATGCGAAAGTGGCACTCTCTATTACATTTTGTGCTCTTGTACGAAGAGTGCTGTGTGGAGAGAATTTCTGCAGCGTGCTTCCCTCAAACCCTCTTCTCTGCTGCTGCAGCTGCAAGCTGTCCTCTCTTAACATCTGCATCTGCGATGCCCTTGGATGATCTTGCGCCAAGGAACCGCGATTCTCAGCCTGAATTTCTCAACTTCTGAAGAAATATTGCATGACTTCATGTTGCTTTTACAAGCGTCCTTGAATCTAAGTGAAGGGCAACCAACACGTCAGGTGTCCATATACGGTCTTTAGGTAGCCTTCCATCCTCCATTCGCCGAGTGTGTCAAAGCCATCGAAGGCGGTGCTGACTGAACAGGGAATGGATGCTTGGAATTTTTGCTCGATACTGGAATTTGCTATGTTCAATATGGTCTTCTGTCAGCTAATTCTAAGGATGTGCTTAAGACATCTCATGTGAAAAGCGCTGAGCCGATGCTCCTGTTTCATGTAGGTGGTCCAGGACTCACTTCCATAGAGAATGGTGCTGAGAACGGAGGCTTGGTAAACCCTGATCTTAGTGTTTTCTCTCAGTACTTTGTTATCCCATACTCGCTTAGTTAGCCTGGCCATGATTACATTGGCCTTCCCAAGTCACCTGTCAAGCTCCACGTCAAGGTTGTTGATTATCGAACCCAGGTAAGTGAATTTATCCACAGCTTCCAGACTGACATCATTAATTTTGATGCATGGAGGATTTTCAGCATCCTGTGCACTCTGACCTTGGTTTCTTCAGGCATGTGGTCAATCGAAACTGCTCACAAGCATCCGCATAGCTATCACTTAGTGCATGGAGAGCTTCTTCAGAGTTGGTTATCAGGGCGGCATCATAAAAAATGAGCACAGACCTCACCTTATTCTTCGAGCGCAGTAGTGCCAAGTTGAAGAGCTTCCCATCGGACATAGTGTGCATATAAACACCATCAGCGGATGAATCATATGCATATTAAGGGAGCAGGGAGAAGAAGATTCCGAAGAGAGTTGCCGCCGAGACGCAGCCCTGCTTTACACTACAGTTCGTTGGAAAGGGTTCTGAAGAATATCTGTCGTACAGGACGGTTCATTTCATGTCGGCATGAAATGAAATCAACATGCCACAGATTTTTGGAGGGCAATCAATCTTCTGAAGAAGTTCAAAAATCCCTTTCCTGCTGGCTAAACCGAAGGTCTACGAACATCATGTCCAGAGGCTGTCTTTGTTCTTTGCTCTTTTCTGGGGAAGGGAATAGATCATGTTTGTTTTGGAACTGCCTGGTCTGGAGCTGCACTGGGATTCGTGAAGAGCTGGTGTCTTCTTTCTTTTTAAACTTCGTTTGTCTGGTGCATTAAATAAAATTTTTATAATAATGAAAATTCTAGGACTAGGTATAATGATTCACGTTTTCAGAAAATTCATTGCAAGAAGTTCTTCTCTTTAGTTCTCCCCCTTCCCATATTTCTCAGTGGCCTTGGCTAGTAATAAGAACACCTCTATTTCGAATTCCTGGTAACTTCGTAACCAGGAATTCGAAATGGAGGTGTCCAGGGAAGGTTTTCACAGATGGAGGTTTTTCACAGATGGAGGTTTTTAACCACCTCAGCCACACCATAGTTGGAGCTGAGGGAAAAAAAGTATATTATGGCTCCTCTAGAATCGGCCACTGAATTGAAAAGAACACAATAATTGTCGTCGCCGGCCGACTGTCGTACGATGCAGTGAGTACCCAGTTTAAAACTATCGCATTGAGTCAACCACGATCGTCATTTTTAGGAAATGCCGTAGCCAGCTATTGGGGCAGTCTGGACAGTCCCACA